TGCTATACCCTTATTTATACAAAAAACTTTAGAATTATATTACCAGTTTTTGTATAATAGTATAAAGGTATATTAGTATAGGTAATTAAATATATTATAAATTAAATATACTACAAAGGTATTATTTATACTAATAATACTAATAATCAGCTGCTGCACCAGAATTAACAGATAAGAATATAAAGACTATTAACAAGTATTATTCAACAAATGCAGGCAGAACTTATAGTTGCTTTAATTTATTAAACAGTATACTTAACTATAAGATATTAAGTATAAAACACTGTACAACAGGTTACAAGACTAAATAATACTAGTAGAGTAGAAGCTCACAGCTTTATAGCATAAAAACTAGGCTATATATTAATTAAAAATTATTTTACTTATTGTTAAACTTATTGTTTAGTTTTTTTAATAAGGAATTGTTTAATCAGGCCGGCTGTTAAATATTATATAAAAATCTGGAAACTAGAAAAAGGCTTCTTTAATTAAATATAAGATAAACTGAATAATAGTATACTTTAGTAGAATAAATAATAGAAGTAGCTGTAATAAATATTTAACTATAAATTACTATATATATATTTTATAACAGTAGATAAAATACTTTATATACTAATTACAGCCAACTGTAGATCTTTTATATATATCTGGTATTACTTATACCAATACCTTATATATATTAAATAAGCCACTAAGTACAGGATTTGTTCTAATAAAACAAATAATAATTAGTACAACAGTATAAGAAAAAATCTGTAAAAAGACTAGTTTATTATTAATACTACAAAAAATACTAATAATTAAGATTATATAAATATCAGTAGAAATAAGCAGCTAAGATATTTAAAGTTTAGTTGCAGCTAACTACTCTAGTCCTAGATTAATAGAATTAGAACTTAAAAAAGACTTTTCAACAAAAAATCTTTTTCTCTAATTCTAACTGTAAGTAGATGTTATTAGATATGCCTAGATAGCTTTCTAATAATATAGGCTAAGCGCTGTTCAACTGTGCTATTTAATAATTTATAGAAGTTTTTATAAGTTAAATAGCTACTTACAGCTTACCAGACTACAAAATATTATACTTAAAGGCTGAAAAACTTAGAAGATTAGCTAAAAAAAGAGAAAGCAGATAAAGGAGAAATAAAATCTAGAGTAAAAATAAATATATTCTACCAGCTTTGGAAAGCTTATTTGTTACTGCTACAATTTTTTTTACAGTACTTAAAAACTAAAGCACTATTTTAATTAACTATAAAAAAAATACTGCTGTTTATAGAAAAGTACTGTCTGCTACAGTTCCAGCTGTAAATAAACTATAGTACTATTTAAAAGCAGATCTACTATTTAATATATAATTATTTATAACTGTTAGATTAAGATATAGGGCTTTTATTTCAGCTATAACTTTTTTTAAAGGCTCTTAGAAATAAATTTAATAAAAAACTTATAAGCAGTAAACAGAATTTTAAAAGTTATAAATAATTTTATATTAAAAATTATATTTATAATATTATTGTAAAGCTGTGTACTATAGATACTACTTAAAATAAATTTAGATTAGATAAAAATATCTAGTTTAATAACTATACTAATACTTTTAATACTTTTAATACAGATAAAGATAATAAATATAAAAAAAATAAAATAACTAGTTTTTAGTATTTTAAATCTAATTAATTTTATATTTATTATATAAATGGCGAATAAAAAGCCCTATTAATAATAGTTAAATATAAACTATTTTATAAGCTGTTTATAAAAAATCTTTGTACAGGACTTTAACTAATAGATTTCTGGTGTAAAGTAGTTAGGCCGGATTTTATTTCTATAAAAAAATCTAAAAAATTAAAATATAATACTATTTAGTTAACAGGCTCGGCAGTAGTATAAAAATACTATATTATAATTTAAAAAATTTTAAATACTTATATCTAATAAACAGTCTTGTCTTAGTTCTGCTAAAAGTTAACTATAATAATTTAAATATACTATACTACCACCTTTATAAACTAAATATAAAAGTTAATTATTAAAAAAATAAAAATCTGCTACAGCAGCTGATAACATCTGTTATACAGATTCTATATCTATACTTAATAAATTTTTAATTATAATATTAAAATTAGAAGTAGAAAATCACAGTACAGATATATCTGCTAAAATAAAAAATAAGCTTTAACTATATATATTTACAAATTTTTATATTAGAATTGCAGTATAATTTATTTAGATTAGAATATATAGTCTTAGAGTATACCAGCTTTAAACTTATAGTATTTAAATATATTTTATTATTATTACTAGTATAGTTACTTTTTAAATATTAAATTACTACTTAGTTGTAATATAGCTGTATATCTTTAAATTCTAAGCCCTATTTAAAAAATACTGGCCTTTTATCTAATTTAAAGGTAGATAATACTATAGAAAATTAAAAATATTATTTAAGCTAGATATTATTATCTCCAGTATTTTTTTTATATATCTATTGGCTTACTATATAGACTTTTGTAATAGATAGAATAACTAATACTATAAAAATACTATACTATTTTATACTTAGTATTATTTACTAGGTCTGTAATAGGGCAGCAAACTGGATATATAATATTTTAATATTAGATTTTATTAAAAAAAAACAGCTAATATTATCTAATTAGGGCAGAGACTATAGTTAAGCAGATTAAACAGTAACTATATAAAAATATTAACTACAGCTATATACTAATTAGATTTTATAGTATATTAGGAGTACTGTTTAAAATTACCTGTACTATATATAAATATACAGTAGTTAGTAAAAAAACTATAATACTATTTTAGTATTAGATATTTTATAAAACTAATATATATAGTATACTTATACAGATATAAAAATCAGCTGTACCAGTATTTTTAAATAAGCTTAATTTAAATAAGTTTTACTTTATTTATAGTACTGGAGAAATTTGTTATATACTGCTAATAGCTTAGAATAGTAAGCTAATAGATCTAAAAATATAAAAAAAATAGTAGCTTATAAGATTTTAAAATTAATAAGAATAATTTATTTATCTGGGATTCTGTATAATAATCTTCGGCCAGATAATATCTTGTAGAATATAAAATTAAGTAGAGTTTTAATTATTAACTTTTATTATTCTAAACTGGATTTTTAGCCTATTTAAAAACACCAACTATTCCCCTGCTGTGGAAATAAGGAAGGTGGACAAAAGCAGCTTTATATAATCTACAGTTAAGTATAGCAGAAGCTAAATTTACTATATAAATTATATCAGCTATAAAATAATTGCTGATAATATCTATAATATCTACTTTTAGAAGATCTTGTACCAAGTCTCTAATTAAACAATACAGTAATATTATTTAATTCTATTCTCTTTTAGTTTTTTATTCTAACAGCTAAAAATTATAACTTTTTATTAGTTTTATATTAATTAAGGTGTAGACTAATTAAATCACAGACCTTCTCCGCCAGCCTTTAGATACTTTACTTTAACTAGTCCTTATTAGTAGATATATTACCAGAATTAAAAAAATCTTCAGCTGTCTTAAAAAAAGACTGGAGTAGAATAGTTATACTATAATAAATAAAAAGCAGAGAAGCAGATTTACAGCTAAAAGATTTAATTAGTATTATCTACTAGTATAATACATACCAGCCCGCCCTACTATATAGCGTATTAAAAACAACTATAATCCTATGTATTTTAAGATATAATAAAGATTTCTTACTACATAGCCTAATTTAAATATAAAGTAAATTTTAAAATAATATAATACAGAGGCTACAGATTAGGAACAGAACAGTAAACTATTAGTATTTAGTACTTACACAACTTTTCCTCTAAATATACTTATTGCAAAAATTAAGCAGAAATTAGTATACTGTATAACACTAATATATACTGTTTTGGTATTTGGATTTAAGGTTAGGGCAAGTTACAATATTCCAGGCCAATTCAACTAGATTTTGGTTGGGGTTCTTATTTCTTTTAGTAAATAGTCTTAATATATTTTCTATTGTAAGTTTACTAATACCAGCTAGAAGAAATATAACCCACAGCTAGTATAATAAAATAAATAAAAATTTTAATAAACTTACTGCTGGTAAAAGTGCTGGTAAAGAGGACAAGATCAGCCTATAAAAAGACAAGGCTAAACTTTAGTTAATATAAGAATAAAAAAAAATACTGGTCTGTCAGCTCTCTAGAAACACTATTCTCTTTATTTTAAATTTAAAGAAAGCTATTATTATCCAGGTAATTGCGTAATTATATAGCCTGTATATTAGTTTTTTTTACATTAGCTACAATCCAGGATTAATTATTTTAATAAGTATAATACTTGATCACAGCCGACAACCTTTTAAGTTAGAAATTAAGTAAAGCTGGACTAAGCTTTCTGTTGCACTTAATAAAGATTTATTATTATCTTTATATTCTCACGTTTGTATTAATAGCAAATCCAGAGATAATTACAGGGCTTCCGGATACTGGTGTCACTACCTACACTCTTTGATTGTTTCAGCAGCCCTAAGATAAAACCACGCTAAACATAATCTGGAAGCCTGATGGAATAACAATGCTCCGCAAGGTTACAGTATACTGTGATAACATGTACTGTGTACAGTAATCTATAGAAACAGCTAGACTTATATAAGTGGCAAACTGGCCTGATTACAAATAATCTAGAAATCACGGGACGATTGTAATAAATAATAGTATAAAGGTGTTGCATATCCCAGGCCCTTTTTTTATAGAGAGATTAGAAAATAAGGGATTGGAGTAGAGTACACAGATATTCTTCTATTAAAGATTAAATCTTATGATTGGAATGTGTCCACTATTTAACCCAAGGGCAAGTATAGTATTCTTAATAGCAAAATATATAAAATGACGATAGTTAGGAGGAAGCCACAGAGCCCTTTTACCTTGTAGAGAGACCCAAAAATCTGCGATAGAGATAGAATAACTGGAAGTAGATTGCTGTATGACTAAGCGGCCGTCTGGTGAGAAAACCATTAACCAGACCCAGTTAGAGTAGCTGATTAGTATATACTGCTTAACACCTATAGCTGTATTCCAGAGCTTAATAGTACAGTTATTTAAGGCTGATACTAGTATACAGCTGTCTAGTAAAAAGGCTACCAATCTAACCCAGTTAAAGTAGCTGATTAGTATATACTATTTAATATTTATAGCTGTATTCTAAAGCTTAATAATCTGGTTGCCTAAAACTAATACTAGTATATAGCTGTCTGGTAAAAAGGCTACTAACCAGATCTAGTTAAAGTAGCTAATTAGTATATACTGCTTAATACCTGTAGCTGTATTTTAAAGCTTAATAGTACAGTTGTACAAGGCTAATACTAGTATATAGCTGTCTAGTAAAAAGGCTACTAATCTAACCCAGTTAAAGTAGCCGGTTAGTATATACTACTTAATACTTATAGCTGTATTTTAAAGCTTAATAGTATAATTATCTAAAACTAATACTAGTATACAGCTGTTCAGTAAAAAGACCACCAATCAGATCTAGTTAAAGTAGCTGGTTAATATATACTGCTTAATACCTATAGCTGTATTCTAGAGCTTAATAGTCTGGTTGTCTAAGGCTGATACCAGTATACAGCTGTCTGGTAAAAAGGCCACCAACCAGACCAATTTAAAATATTTTTTAAATATTTAAAAAGTTAAGCTTTAAGAATCCTTTACTACTGTTTTAACTGCTGGTTAATCTTTAACTTTGCTAAAGAATATCTGTTTAATAATACTTTTAGTTAGTGTAAATATAAGACTAGTATAGTAAATCTGTAGTAGAGTAATTACTGCTATATAGTTATTTTAATAAATAAACCTTTTTATATTATATAAAAAATCAGATAACTTAGAGCTAAGTTGCGCCTAGATAATATTTAGCCAGTCTTTTAAGTAGTAAATTAGAAACTTATATATACTTTTAACTTTAATATATTTATTAATTCTATTACTTTAGAGATTTCTTCCATTAGAGCTAGTGCCTCTATTTAGTAAAAAAAGTAGTTTTGGAAAAAAAAATATTACAGTTTATAATACTATTTTTACTTTATTTAATATAATAAACCCAGTAGCAACAGGTATATTATATATTAGCAGTAAAATAATTTTTAATAATCTTAGGCTTAATTTTTTTTATTAGATTCTGTAACTTTACAGCTTATATATATTCTCTTTAAGCCGGGTTTTTATAAGCTGAAGATAATATAAAGCAATTCTACTATATATATTTTGCTTAGAAATATAAAACGGGCACTTTTTGTCTAGGAGGTAGTTTTAAAATAATAAGTATAGAATCTGGACTGGTATTTTAAAATCTACTGGTATACTAAAAACAGAGTAGAATCTGTCCAAGTAATTATTAATATTATTAAGTAGAAACTTAATAAGCAGGGAGAGAGTATTAAAAAATAAAGGTAAAGCTAAAGAAATAATTATTTTAATTATATATTAAAATTTTTTTTTTAGTTGTTATATCTTTTTTTTATTGGCTCCAGTAAGAAGCTGGCTTAGAATAGGTGTGTATATTTGTACTATTTTGTCTTTTAAAAATATGCTTATACTGTTGAGAATCTTTTTAAGCTGTTGTTTTAGATACTATTTATTTTTTTTAATAAAGCAGCAAATTGTTGCTGCAAAGATAAATAGAAAAATAGCTATTACTACCAGCTTTTTAATTTTTTTTACTTCTAGGCCAGTTGGGTAACAGTAAGCACTCTTTTTATATAGCTAAAAGCTTATTTTTAAAAAAAAGCTGAATATTATGTTTAATTACAGACTTAGGAAGCTTCTGGAGGATTAAATTATAGTAATTCTTATTTTTATTAAAGCTATTGTAAAGAGGGAGTTTAGGTCAGCTGGTTAGAAATACTTAAAAATATATAGATTTAATTTATTATATTTTAAATAAGTAGTTAAGAATAAGTTATTAATTTTTATTACTGTTACACTTGTCTAAAGTATTAATAACAATTATAATTATTATAGATTAGCTAGTAGACAGCTTTTGGAGTAGCTGATAAAAAAGCATCTTAAACTATTAATTAAAAGATTTAAATATAATATTTAAATTATTTTTAATTATATTAAAAATATTAAAATCTAGTTGCCGGTGCTTGATAATCAGCTGATATGCAAAAGTTGATATAAAGTGCTTTATATTACTATAGTCAGCTTTGCCTTGCTTAAAAAAAAGCTGGCATCTAAAAGCCCTTAATTCTGGAAGAATTAAGTAATAGTTTATATAATAGTAGATTTACCAGTCTCTGCTATACTATTTAGCTAGAAAATAAGTTAATTTTACAACTAAGCCTATAATAAGATACAGTTAAAAAGATCTGTTTTTATATTTAAAAGACAGTAATTCTTATGCTAATAAGTATAAAAGTTAAAAAATACTTCTTCTGCTAGTAGTAAGCTTTTAAAGCCAGAATATTTAAAAAGTCTCTTTAGAAAATTGGCCAGTTTATTAATCTTATGTAAAATATTTTCTGCCTCTTTTATACAGTTAAGATATTTAATTAATCTAATTAATTTATTTAGCTTAGCTTTTTTATTTTTAACTGAAGTCTTGAATATAATAAGTAGTTGCTGAAGGCTATTAGTTACTATATTAAATATTCTTTTTCTAATACTTGCTTTTTGGAATTTGTATATCTAGACTACATAATTTAAAATAGCTTTATAAAGTCTAATTAATATATTTTTTATAAAATGGTTGTTAGAAATACTTTTTGTTTTCTTGTAGAATTTCTATTTAATAAAGGTACTGTATATTAGAACATCTGCCAAGTACTCCAATAATTTAAACAGAAAATTACAGGACTGGAAGTATTTTTTTACTAACTAGTAAACTAAGTAATAAATATATCAGCAGCAACTCTTAATATGCCCAGTTATATATATACTATTAGACTAAGTAAAATAATATTTTATATATTAGCTGTATACTGTATAGAGTTGAGTACAGCTACTATACCTACAATATTTTTAAATAACAGTACTATATTAAGAATTTTCTATAAAGTCTTCTAAAATATTTTATCAGCTGTTTAAGAATACTTTTTATATTCTTTTTTAGTTATTATAATAATCTGATTAATTAGATTTTTAAAATATTTTTTTCTTTTACCCGGTATAATTAAAATCTTTTTAATTAAAAGAATATTTTACTGGTTGTAATTAAGCTGGTTATAAGCAGCTTGCCATAAGTCTTGCAGCTGTAAAGTTTGTGTTGACTAAATAGCCTAGTCTGCAGGCTTATAAAAAACAGGGTAGGCATTATTATTAATAAAATACTTTTAGATTTTGTTTTATTTTAATTTAATAATTAGTTTTTTGCTCTTTTTCTGCTGATAAAATAGATAACTAAAACACTTTCTAAAGGGATGTGGTATTTTAAATATTTTAAAATATTAGCTGCTGTATATTGGGTGAAAGTAAAACTGCAGGAGAAGAGCAGTTTAAAAGAAAATACAGCTATTATTAGTTAATACTAGTATTAAATTTTTTACTAAACTGATACAGCTGAATAGTAAGAATAATTTTTACTTAGCTTAGCCAGTTATAGCTAGCTCTGTAGTATACTGGAAAAGGCAGGGATTTCTATTTTATTTATTCCAGCCAGAGTTATATGCCATAGTATTGGTATTGTAATACAGAAATATACCTGGGGGTTGATCCTCTTTATTTATTATATTATAAGCTGAATATTAAAATAAAAGGCAACCCTTGGTAATCTAATAAAAGTAATATTTATTATTTTAAGCACCTTTATGGCTAATTGGTTAGAAGATGTAGATATTAACTATAGATAAGATCAACAAAATATAAGATAATTTAAGTATTTGAATAATCTTCAATTTCTTGTAGTTTAACAAATTTGGTTTTGGTGAGTTGTTTGATATTAGATGTGGTGTCGGCCCAAGCCGAGGAGCAGTTATATCTAAGAAATATAGCCTTTTATTTCTAATAGTTCTACTACTTGTTGCCCCTTTATTAGGATATTGCTATCAACCACACCTGTAGTATAAGTAGTATAATATATTTAGCTCTACTTTTTATTCTTCTAAGCCTGTTAGAAGCCCTTTTTAAATCTAACTTTATATATCTGATTACTGGGAAGCTTTTATTTTCCTAACTAATATTTAAAACTTTTTATTAATAGGCTTTTCGGCGGTATCTATTATTTTAATAATAATACTTTTAATTTTTTAAGTAGAACTGCTTTTTAGGCTTAAAAGTTTATTTTGTAGAAATAGTCCTTTTTAAATGCCTCCACCCCTAGGAACTTTGGCTGTAAGTATACCCTGTTTAGATTTAGCCTTTTTAACTATAAAAATTAAAGTTTTACCCTTTTATATTATACTCTACCTGAACAACAAAATTCCGTACCAGAGTAGGATATAAGGGCTAATAACTGGAAAAAAACTAATATCTATTATTCTATTAAATAAAGGGTAACTTTAAATAATTGGATGGTGGTAAAAAATATAGAACAGGATCTGATACTTAACCTCAGCTTTTATTAGTCTAATATTAAGTAGAAAGCAGAGGATATTCTATATTAGAAAGTAGCTTATAACTAACAGGTAAGACTAGATAATACTATAGTAGTAGTTTCTGTAAATAATTGCTTATAGCGGGATCTGACTAAGTATTTTAAAAAGACTGATATTAACTGGACAGCTATACAAAGACAGCTTACTATATAAAAAAGCTTATTTTAAAAAGAAAAAAAGCTTTGGCTTTATATTTCTATTAATTATTTAGATTCTAAACTGCTTTTAACTGGGTCTAATAAATAGAGACAAACATCAGTTGCTAAAAGGATATTTAATATATAAAAGGCTAAGATTAATGCTAAAAATATTTCTGGGTAATTTTTAGTATAGTGGGATGTATACAGGGCAATACAATACCCTAGTATACTATGTTGTCTTGCTACAGTACTGCTGATAGGATCCTATAGGCAAAAAGTATACAGACTATAAATATACTATCTAAGGAAGTTGGTAAGGTTTGTAGAAAAAGAAGATAAAATAATTTAAATATATAATAATATATTTAACAGTATTTGTAAACAGCTATATACAGAGAAGCAGCAGTAACTTAAGCTATAATAAAAA